GTCTCAGTTTGGCCAGCAGGCCCCCTCTCATGTTCCCAAATCCCAGAAATCAGAATCCCTGGGAAATCTGAGAGATTCCTGATATCATAAGCTATTCTTAAAATACTTCCAAGATTATGTACTCTTTATTCATTGTTATGGCTATCTAAAATTATTTAACAAATACGAAAAATGAAGTTTTGGCATTTATAAAGAACGATCATCTCTAGTCAATATTCAAACACTGGAAACTACCAATGAAAGTTATTGGCTGATACTTGAATAATTAACATTGACCCCTTCTAACATGGCTAACAGCACTATGCTGCATCTTTTTTTTTTTTAAGATTTATTTATTTGAGAGAGTGAGAGAGATTGAGAGAGAGAGAGAGAACTCGAACAGAGGGAGGGGCAGAGGGGAAGGGAAAGAAAGAGACTCCCTGCTCAGCGCTCAACAGGGACTCTGCTTGAGATTCTCTCTCTCTCTCCCCCTGCCCCCTGTGCTCGCTCTCTCTCTCATAAATAATAAATCTTTAAAAAAAAATAAAAAGAACGCTCATTTCTTTACTTACCTGCCGTCATTAGACTGAATCTCTCTTGAAGGCAGGAAGTCTATGTCTTTTACATTATAGAACTTCCAATACCTTGCTTGGGGTTCAGAACCAAGTACGTGCTTAATTAATACGCAGTGAATTGAATTTCATGGAACAGAGAACTGATGTTTAAGCTGAGCTTTGGAAGGTGCATTTGTTAAGTGGTTTATGGAGGGAAGGGCATTTGGGGCTGAGGGAGACAATCTCTGCAAAGACACGAGCATGCCAAACAGTGTATTTTCAAGGACTACAATGACCTTCCCTTGGCAGGTGTGCAAAGTAGGAGATGAACTCAGCACAGTAATCAGAGGCTAGGTCATGCAGGGGCCTGGGTCCCTGTTAAGGACTACAGATGTGACCCTGTAGGCAGTGGGAGCCAGCCGTTGAAGGACTCCAGAGACTTAGGCTGGAGACAGATGGCCCGAGGTTGAATCCCACCTCTGAAATTACCTATCTTTGGGCAGGTTCTTTAAACTTCCTAGACCTCAGTTTCTTCATCTTTAAAATGGAGATTAGAACAGCAAATACTCAAGGAGGTTTTGGATAAAATGCCCCAGGAGATAATGCAGGTAAAATAGTTAACATAGTACCTGGCCCATAGTAATAGCTCAATAAAGTGCCTTTTGCTATTATTGTTATTGCTTTTACTATCACCAAAAGGTTTTAAATAGCAGAGTGACATGATCTGATTTGTATCTTGAGCTAAAGTCCAAGGCCAATCCCCACCATGAGATAAATACTCAGAACTGATGAAGTTCTTTCCCCCCCTTTTTTTTTAGAAAAAAAGATGTATTTATTTATTTGAGAGAGAGAGAGAGAGAGCACGAGCAGGAGGGACAGAGGGAGAGGGAGAGAGAATCTCAAGCAGACTCTGTGCTGAGTATGGAGACCGACACGGGGCTCGATCTTATGACCCTGAGATCGCGACCTGAGCCGAAACCAAGATCGTTGCTCAACCGACTGAGCCACCAGGTGCCCCTCTTTTGCCTTTTTAAAAATTGTTTTCCATGGTATTCTCTCAGACCTAAAGGATCCCAAACCTCTTTGGGGTTCTTCAGTTTCCTCTCCTAGCTTCAACAGAGTGGTTGTTGGAAGGCAAAGCAAATGAAAGGATAAGTGAAATACAGCCTGAGGTCATGGGAGTCTTAGGTGGAGAAAACAGGAATAGTCATTCATTCAACAATCATTTGAAAAACATCAGGACTCTATGTAGGGACCTGGGAGGGAAGGGAAGAGGGATTCTAGGGTCAACTAGCCTTAGGCTTCCTGCTGAGCAGGTTCCTTCTTTTTGGGGAATAGTGGGCACAGTCCTGGCCTTTAGAACCTCAGCTCTGTCATGTCATTTGTTTGAGCCTCAGTTGTAGCATCTGTAAAGTGGGGATACTGATACTTATGCCTCATCTTCCCATGCCCCAAGATGACTTTATCATACACTTTCTTCTCTCCTCACACTTCCAACACCCTCCCACCATAACCGTTTTGAGCTGATGGACTTGTTTCTTATTCTACTGAGAAGATAAACGCAATCAGAAAAGAGCTCCTTCACCCTCCTCCATTTAATCTACCAACCTACTGTAACATGTATCAGTCTGAACACACTGTCCCTGTTTCTGTCCCTATCACATGTGATTTGGATCTCACTCTTTTTTGTCTACTCAAGGACTGTGATTCTACAATTGTCATATCACTTTTCATATTTTCAGTTTCCCCCCACTCTTCCAGGGCATTCTCCTCAGCATACAAATAACCGAAGCAATATAGTCTCATTACTTCTCAGTTTTTCCCAGACTTTTATGTTTTTGCTCAGCTAATTGAAGTTAGATTTCTGTCATTTCCAATGGAAAAAGCCCTGATTAATACAGGAGACATAGATAGGAGCCTATGGAAACAACTTCTGTCCTTTTTCCCCCATTGATCTTCAAGGGGTAAAAAGTTCCAGCTCCATAGAGTTCATTCTTGTTCTCCCTAGAGGACATGGAAACTCTAAATTGTCCATCTTTGTACTTCCTGTCACCAACCTCACAGCTCTCCAGGGATTTCCGACATAGTTAGGTGGATGTTTGAAATCCACCCTCACAATAGTGTAATAGGGACAGATAATTTTACATGAACCATTTAAAATTTTTCTCATGTTTGCATAAAAATTCCTCTTACATAGTTTTTCACAGATAATCTGTTGAAGAAGATATTTGGCTTCAGAATTTAAATAAGAGACATAATAAAGGCAGTAAAATACGTGGGAGACACAGTGCTTAATATTGAGCAGTCTATATTTAATTAAATGATTAGATGAACTAATGAATGAAATGAATTAACAATTTGCAAATGTGTTGTATTCTCAGAGTTGGTTTTGTAGCTTAGTTGTTTTGAATTTGGGATGCATTCTCCCATAGAAACAATGTTATAAATGATACTTAAGTGCCAAGAAATCCCACTGAAGCCATTTACCCATAATATAGCAATAAAATGTAGAAAAGGGGGTGCCTGGGTGGCTCAGTTGGTTAAGCAACTGCCTTCAGCTCAGGTTATGATCCCAGGGTCCTGGGATTGAGCCCTACATCGGGCTCCCTGCTCAGCGGAGAGCCTGCTTCTCCCTCTCCCACTCCCCCTGCTTGTCTTCCCTCTCTCGCTCTCTCTCTCTCTGTCAAATAAATAAATAAAATCTTAAAAAAAAAATAAAATGTAGAACAGTAATGGCATTATGTAAGAACACTTAAACAATTTTGAATACAAGTGCTTGAGGAAAAGTGACTTTAATTAGAAGATGAGGTGGCACATGAAAAATGTGGTGATTTCCAAGGGGACTTGTGAGCACTTTCAAGGATCATGGAGGCATTATGTCTTTTTTAACATCTATTTTCATATTAAAATGTATGCATTTTTCCCTTGGTACAATCTTAGACTATCAGCAGGATCTTTATTGTTTGTCTGGCAGGCAATTAATAACTGTTTCCAGTTGGCTGGAAGATGGGAACAAAGCAAGATGGAGAGTTGGGGGAAAATTTCTCTTAAGTAATTGAAAAAAAAGTTGTAAGAGTGTCATAAACAGAAAACAAGTCTGTGTTATCACATGTCTCAGTATTCAGATAAAAGGAAAATGATGTGCTATGCTCTTAAGAGGCTATTTACACAGGGAGTAAGATCAACACAAAGAAAAAGCACTACCTGGTAAGACACCTTGGATGTCAATCAAGGAGATAGCTGTTTGGAGTGGATGGTGATCTTTGGGGCCAGGGAGGGGGAAGAAGAGTTTGAGTCTGGCCTTTGGAAGAAGGTTTCAGTAAGGAGAGAGTTGGGAGAGTATATGAGGTGAAATTAACTGAATGGTACTCATGATAGAAATGATAGAAAACACAGGAAAAGGAAGAAACATGGTGTGAGCATCATTCTACCCAAGAAGAAAGAATATGGCAGGGGAAAAGGATGCTGGATGATTTCCCTATGGAGGCCATACAATGGCTCAGGAAAGGTTGGTGCTGGCTACAGCCAACTCGGAGTAATGGCCATGGAGTCTGGCAGTCTGCCGTCAGAATTTCAGGTGTTTGTAACTCAGATCGTACCTTAATATACCTCAGTGTTTCTATAGCATTTGTGTAATTTTATCATATCCTGTCTATTGATTTTGGTAGCATGTTCTGTTGGACAAATCTTACTGATTCCTAAAGAAGGAACTTCTGAGACCCTTGCCTTTGGTTTAAGAAGACGTCATGTTCCATTTGCAGGTACTTCCCATTGCTCCCCCTCCTTCCTTCTCTTCTTCCTCCACCTTTCCTAGTCTGACCCTGACCAAGTCACTCATTCTCTGGGGCCCGTGTTCTAACCTCTAAACGAGAACAACTTTACTAGATTATGTATTTCTTCCAATTCTAAAACCTAGATTGTGAAATTTTCCAAAATGACGAAACACAACAAACCACGAGGACGAGGTCTGATTCTACTGCTCAAATCCTATCGCTCTGGTTTCCACAATGGCTTCTGAATAACACAGATGATTCACTTATCCATTGTTCTTAGAATTAGGTGACCTCTGCGCTCAGAGCTGTCATGGGGGCACTGGGATTTATCTAGAAAAAGTGGTGTGGCAAGTGTAGGCTCTTCCCTCCTTAAAAAAGTGGCGAAGGTCACGGGGACAAAATCTGTTCCCTCCTATCTCCTTCGATTCAGAAGTCTTCTGGGTAGGCGCAAGTAGATAAAGGCTTATCGTTCCCGGTTTGGGGCTTTGACCAGCCTAAGTATCCGGCCCCCTAACCACAGACCTCGACGAGTCCGGCGAGCACCGAGCCACTGAGCCAGCCTGGGACTCTGCGGCTTCCCACGAGGCGCGGCGCGGCGGAAGCGGGGTCGCCACACTTCCGGTGGCCCGGCCGCGCGCTCGCCACACTTCCTGTTGATCGGGCTCCGCGGAGGGCGGGGCTGGGAGGAGGGCCGGCGGGCGGGCGGCTACGCGGGAGGCGGCCGCTGGCCTGGCGTGGGCGCGCGGGGCCGCGGCGGGCACGGACAGTCAGCCGCGTCGCTTCAGCCCGGAGCACCCTCGGCGGCCGCGCCTCCCGCCCTCCGTCCTTCTGCCCGGCCCCGCGCCACCATGCCCGCCGTGGACAAGCTCCTGCTGGAGGAGGCGTTGCAGGACAGCCCCCAGGTACCTCCCGCCGCTCCGGTCGCCTTGCCCGGGGACGGGAGGCCCCTCGAGTCCCGGGGTGGAGGCCGGGAGGGGGCACCCCGCAGGCGGGGCTGGACAACCCGAGAAAGGGCCCCCCCCGCCCCCGCGGCCGGAGTCTTTGTGTCGTGACCCCTTTTCCAGAGTCAGCCGAAGCTGACGCTGCCCGGCCCAAACTCGGGCTCCGTGGCTTTGCTGAGTGCCTCGGAAAAATAACCTTTTTGTGCCGCAGTTTTTACATCTGTAACACAGGGATAATAATTGTCCCCGCCTCATAGAATTGTCAGAATTAAATAAGGGGATGCCTGTAAAGTTGTTAGCGGGCAACGTCTGGTACAGAAGAAGTAGTCAATCTTAGTTACTACTACTACTGCTACTTACTGATGCGATGGGTCCTGGTGGATTTAGGGCCAAGATGGGAGGCAGAGAGTCCAGCTCTCTTTCCGGTACCCTTCGGCACGGTTTTCCCATTTTGTCAAGAGAAAATTACAACACCTGCCCCATTTGTCGCACAGGGGGACTTCATTAGCACGCTCGAGATGAAAGTTAAGTCCTCGGAGCTCTGCAGATGAAAGCTGCTGTGTAAATAGAGCAGATGAGTGCAGAATGACAGGAGTTCATAATTCAGTGCCCTTTTTCTTCAGGGAACTTTTTTGCTCCGCATTAGCACTGCCTGGCTTCATATCTCCTCTCCTGGTTCCGCATCCCTGGGTTTATTTAAATCAGCCTTTTTATCCCCAGGTGTCTCAACTCTTGAAAAATTAGAATGAGATTAACTGTTTTCCTTCTCTTTTCGGTTCCCTTCCTTATTCTTAGCAAATTGCACTCCTGGGATGATCTTTTGATGGTCTTACTTACTTTTTACTTACCCACTCTGCATCTTGCCAGTTTAGAATCAGCAGTCAAAGGGCCGTGTGCTTAGTTGCCTGTGTCCATTTCTTTGTGATCTTCCTTAGGGTAGGCAAGAAACTTGAGCAAGCTGTGGCTTTTTTTTTTTTTTTTTTAATTGGCATCCGCTGGTCTGATTGACTTTTCAAAGACCTCTTTGAAGTTTCTAGACTTGTGGCATTTTAATGGGACCGAAGCCCTTCGGAGAAGTCATTTTGTCTGTCTTCACACATAATGTGAGATATGAAGAGAATAATGTAGAATTTCTAAGGATACCATTTTGAACAGGGATTTCTGTTTGCTTTGTATTCCAGAAGTGCAAAGATATATTGCTTTCCTAACTGAGCATGGTGATGGCTGAGCCAGGTCAGAGAGGTTGTGCTGACTGATTCTCCTGTGTTGCCCTCATCGCGAAGTCACATTCTGCATTTCTGACTCTCACATAAGTGAATATGCACCATTTCTGAGTGGTTTACAGGGTTTGCTCAGCTGGGAGGAAGCAGAGAGAGGACTGGCAAACAAGGCAGGAAAACTGGATCCTAATTCTTGCTCTACCACTAGCTTACGTGATTGAGGCAAGTCACTTATCCTTACCCTGTGGTTGACTCAGTCTTCTCATCTGCAGAATGAGGGATGTGGAGCAGTTGATCTTTAAGGGGCTTTAGAAGCTTAAAATTATATTATATTGCATGGTTTATAATTTTGAGCTTGTATGTGGAAGAGGAGGTTCAGTGGCATTGGCATTCCTATATAATGTTCTTCTTAATGTAGGGAATTTGTTACTGCTTTTGGGACTTGGGTGTCACCTTACCAGGATTCTTCATGAGGTTGTTCAGCGGAAGCTAACTTTCAAGAAGGCTTTGATAATCATCGGAATATATTTATTTAGCAGTCTTATATGGGGCGTGTGCCTAAAGTGGCCTTATTCCCAAGGAAACCCATAGATTTGGAACTGGAGAAAAGTTAATCTAATTCCTTTTATGTGTAAAGAATAAAAACAATAGCAAACACCTATATCACACATGCCTTTTATGCGCCAGGCATTATTCGAAATGCTTTACCTGTATTAATTCACTTAATATTCCCAACAATCTTTTGAAGTAGGTCTCCTATGAAAGTTACCAAGGAGTAGAAAAGTTAAATAACTTGCCCAAGATTATATACTATACAGTGGCAGAGCCAGGATTGGAACCCAGGCAGTCTAGCCTATGTTGTTCAAGTTGGTCCAGCTACCTGGCACCTGGCCTTTCTATCACCGGTGACCTAAAATGTTTCACTGAAAGGAAGAGATCCTAAGAAACCATCTATTGTTTGTTTCTTCTAGTTTTATGAGGAGTAGTTATGAGGGTTGCTGCAGCAACCTGCACATGATTCATTAAGTGAACACAAAAGCTTTTGTAATTGAACTCAGTGACCCAAGAGGAGCTGAATAGCAGTTGACCGTCCTTAGACACATCTATTCATTTCGTCCTTTTTAGTACAGCACGGTGTACTGAAGACTAGTCTGTGCGTATACATATCATTTCTGGTTACATCTGATATGTGAGAGGCAGAATGTTTTGGGGACAAAGCTACTTGTCTCCGTTGCCGTCCGGGAGCCTCTGCTCCTTGCCAGGCGCCACTAGATGCTGGGAATATAGTGACAAGGTAGGAGTGCCTGCCCTCCACGGGGCACAGTCTGTCCCGGGAGACAGATAAGGAAAGCAGGGCCAGGGCCGTGTGAATGGGCTGCGGTAGGAACACAAACGCAGCTTTGAGCTGCTGCCACTCAGACTTCTGCAGGGGCTTATTGGCTTTTGTGTAAGTAGTCCGCTTTTGAGATAAGGTGAAGACAAAAGCGGTATTACTTGCTGTTTTCTTGATTTTTTGTGTGTTTGTTTCCTTTGCAGTTGGCAAAACTGAAGCCCAGAGAAGTTAAAGACTTAGTTCTGAGATTATGCAGGGAGTGGTCCAAGTGGCGACAGCCCTCCTTGACCAAACCAGGCTTTCTTTACTCAAGCAAGAGGCCTCAAAACAACCTGGTGGTTATGTGTTCATTGTGGAGAATAATATGTGTATTTTATAATCAGTTATTAAAATTGTGCCATTATATGATCAGATGCTATTCTGGAGAATAAAAAATGTCTAGGACTATTTTATTAGGTAACACCCAGCTTCTTTAAGATGGAGGGATGATGTGGATGCTGAGGCTGTATTCTTAGGGTGTTTGGTTTTTCTGGCTAGGCATACTCTTAAAAATGTAGGATAGTAGAAAAAAGATGGAATTGAAATCCTGATTCGGCCACTGTTACCTTAGGCAAGTTACTCGACCTCTCTGAGCTTGTTTTTCAACATGTGTAAAATTAGAATAAAAATATTTACTTAATAGGATTCTTATGAAGATGAATAATGTGTGTAATGTGTCTTCATGCCTGCATGTCATAGTAACTCCGTAAACGATTGCTGTTATTATCTTTATAAGTGATAGGCATCAGGGTCTTTCCCACTTGTAAGTAGTCTTTGATGTCTGGTGTACCTTTGACTGGTCCTTGGTCTCATTCCTTACGTTTCAGTTATAGAACATTCCTGTTGTTCCAGATATAAATTTAAGCAGATATGGAGCTGATAATGTGGGTATCAAAACAGTGTCTAAGATGGCTGGGCAGGTTTTTCTCAGTGGTGATCATGGCCTAGTTAGAAAGACTGGATTTTTCTTGCCAGTGCTAATGGGGGTGGTCATGGTAAACCTGTCCAGAGTGTAAGGAAACAAAACACTTGTGATATAGATTTGGCAGTTATTATAGGGAAGTGCGTGACAGGATGACCGAAGGGAAGCTGGCTACAGGCAGGACTTGGGCTGTGGACCACAGCGCATGCCCACTGATAAAGCTCGGCCAGCTGGGTGACAGGTGCAGCCTCCTGCAGGGGAGGAAGCAGGCCGTTGGTGCCGGTTGGACCTGGATTGACATCCCAGCCCTGCTGCTTCCCAGCCGTGGGAGGTTGAGCAAGTTTCTTGACCTTGATGAGCCTCAGTTTTATTATCTGTAAAATAGGGTTAAGTATCCATGGTATCTACCTCATAAAGTTGTTGGAAGGATTAAATGAAAAAACAAATATTTAGTGCTCAGCACAGTGTCTCACACACAGGAGGTACAGAGTAAACAGGAGGGTTCGTTTTCTTTCTCTTCTCTTTGTGGAGGATATTTACATAAGCCTTCTTTTCATCTTCTCATTTTCCATTCTGTTTCATTCCTGAGAGTTTTATTTATTTATTTATTAAAGATTTTATTTATTTATTTGACAGAGAGAGACAAAGTGAGAGAAGGAACACAAGCAGGGGGAGCGGGAGAGGGAGAAGCAGGCTTCCCGCTGAGCAGGGAGCCTGATGGGCGGCTCGATCCCAGGACCCCAGGATCATGACCTGAGCTGAAGGCAGAGCTAACGACTGAGCCACCCAGGCGTCCCTCATTCCTGAGATTTTTAAAAACAATAAGTAGGCCTCGACTAAATGGATATCAGTAGTAGTTAGAAAAATGAAATAGCCTCAATCCAGTTGTACCATTCTTTCCTTCTCATTTTCCTAGACATGTTAGTTATAGCAAAGAAAAATACCAGAATCATAATAAACGTCAGTGAGGGCCTCCAGCACTGACACCATGAATACAAAGAGACAAAAAGGCCCTTTACTATAGATAACATTTATAGATAACTGTATAGATAAGTATTGCTGTGGTGTTAAAATGAAATCTTACAGAGACTCATGCTCCTTTCCTTTCTGAGTCTCCCAGACGCTCCATCCGTATCTGCTCTCTATCTTCAATAAACTCTGCTCTCACTTAGAAAAAAATGAAATCGTACATGTAGAGCCCTTAGTGTGCAGCATTTAATAAGCAATCAAAGTTCATTATTTTCGTAATCAGTATCAGCTGCTAGTACCATACATCACACACTGGTAGGCACTTTATGTATATTCATTATCCCAGTAACCCTGCGAATTAGTGTTAGAGCCTGAACTTGGACCCAGGACTGACATGGTCCCAAGGGGATCCCAGATGCTTTGAGAGGCAGAGCAGGCTCTAAGCTCCTGGAGAACATAGGGTCGGTTCTAATCACCTCTGAATCCCAGTTGCCAGCACGATGTTTCGGCAGATCCTGGATGAAGGCAGAGATGCATGCATCAGTGAATGAATACAATCTCTCTCTCTCTTTTTTTTTTTTTTCCAAAATAGAAAGTATATTTTAAAAAGATAAAATGAAGAGTTTGGAACCAATGTTTTTCACTTACTGGTTGACATCCATGCATTGATTACCAGAGCCAGTGGGTCACAGTCATGATTTCTGTTTACAAATGGAAGAGAACAGAATAGAGCAGGAAAAAATCGGAGTGTATATGCATACTAATGATAAACATTGTTTGGTCACATGTGTTTCATTACCACTGTTTTTAATTTTAGAAGGTTTGAAGAACTCTCCTCTGGCACACGAATTTATATGCTGTATGAACTCTGATATTTTGCTGTCATTGAGAGCTTTTTAAAAACCTGTCTTACATTTTCCATATTCATTGCATCTTGTCCCTCTGTTGATAAGGATTGTTACTGAAGAGAGTACCTTGGTTTCGGAGAAGGTATTTTTAGCCTTGAAGGCTTCAGGCAAAGCCAGGACAATTGTGTCTGGCCCAAGTACACTGGAGTTTGGGGGACAAAATCAAGGGGAGACTGAATGATCCAAACACCCAGGTGATTGAGGGTGCTTTGAAGTAAGTCACTGCTCTCTTACCTGAGGTTAGAAAAAGAAAGAAGGAATTGAAATTCGAATGCAGGGAGTTAATGAGTCTTAATAGATTGTTCTTTGTAAAGTGCTTTGATATCTTATTAAAAGCATTTCTGTAATTTTCTGTCCATCCTGTGCCTGATGGATTATTTTTAGAGACCCCATTATCACTGACATAATATTTTAAATTCCCACTTTGCTGGACACTTAAAGTCCCTTGAGTAGATATGGTCACTTATGTGACACCTCAATACTTATTTAGACACCATCTCCTATGTAAATATTTCTTCAGTGTTCAACGTGTCAGGCTCTGTGCACAAGAACAATAGGAAATGCCTTCCATCAAATGACATTGCTCAGCTGCTCTGGGGCACTGAGTGGTTAGCCTTCCTGAAGGAATGGAGCTAGCATTCTTGTTAAGTTGAGATTTCAGTTTTGTGCCCAGATCTACTGCTGGTGGACCCAGAGTATACGAAATTTCCTGGCTACACGTTTAAAATTAGTTGAATAAAAGGTGACGAAAGACATGGAAATTGACTGTAGTAGCTTAGGAGGAAAGAATGACGCACCCCTGCAAGATGTCCAAGTTTGCAGAAAACCAGACAGATGGTTAGCTGCTGGGGTGATGCGCTGCTGGGCGTCCACACCGCAGGTAAACACACAGGCCTGGTGTTGTGTGCAGTTTATGGGCTGGAAAGGAGAGGCTGCCTTTTTAACTTTTTTTTTTTTTTTTTTGGACTCTCCTGGTGCTTAGATAGGGGCTAAGTCGAAACAGATAATAGCCCTCAAGTCTTACTCTTTAAAAAATTGGCTTTCCTTCTCTGGCCCCCAAATTGTATTCAGTTTGCCCCTGCGTTGTAGTCTGAAGGATTAGGAAAGTAGTTCTAAATTAAAGCTCCAGAAATCAACTCTTCCTAGTATTATCGGTAAAAGAATAAAGCCGGAGAATTGGCACCTTCCTTCCCCATTTCAGAGAGGGGAGTGTGTGTGTGTATGTGTTTTCTACCTCCTTTGTAACGTTTCCACTCAGAAATAAAGTCAACTTCTTCTTTTCTCGTAGACTCGCTCTTTACTGAGTGTATTTGAGGAAGATGCTGGTACCCTCACGGATTATACCAACCAGCTGCTCCAGGCAATGCAGCGCGTCTACGGAGCCCAGGTATCCTGCTGTGCCTTCCCCCCAAGAGGAGGAGAGTAGGAGCCCCCTGCCCTCATCTTGGACTTCTCTCAAGGGGCTGAGAAATTTGAGTCAGAACAATACCATTGAAAATTTGGAAGTAGAATCAGAATTGTCTTCCTCAAGTCCGTTCACCTTAAAACACTGAGGACAGTCTGTTTTCTCTGCTTAAGAAAGTGGGTAATTTTCCTGTAACTAGTAAAACCAGTAGAGGAGGACCACGTCACTGGTTTTAATTTTTTAAAAGACTCAGCCCCAGAGGGGAACATCTGAATCTCCTCTTCCTATTTGTGAATGAGCGGGGTCAGTATCCTGAGACATGTTCTTTGTCTTTCTCATAAATGGGACTCTTAGACGTCCAGGCAGGAGGGTAGGGAGGGTTTTCCACGTGCTTCTTCTGAGAAGGCTTGAGTCACACTTCTGAAACTGTCGGGTGGCTTCTTTGTTTTGAGGAACAAATATCTCTGACTTGCAGAACAATGGAAAATAAATTGCTGAGTAGCAAAAGTGAATTTTTTTTAAGATTGAGAAGTGCCTGTGTATGTTACGTTCTAAGGGAAGACTTACAAATTACTTAAAATTCATTATGTTGCACGTCAAAATATTAATGGCTTGCTGATGCTTTTTATTATTGATTCCTTGCTGACTTAAATCTGTATATGTCACTGTTTCTTTTTCTCATCGACGATCTCTAAAGAGATACCACATTCAGTATATAATATATACTAATAATTGTATGTAGTCATTTCTTATATAGCTCTTGATATTCATATATGATCATTTATTATTATTGTTTTATTAGTCATTTATTCATATCGTATAGGGGAAGAAGACTCAGTCCTTGCCATTAGAGAGTTTATGTTTGGGTGGGGAGACCGAAAACATTTATCTAAGAGTGTTAGCACCACTAGGAGAGGAGGTCGCCTAACCCAGAGGAATTGTGCTCAGCACCCAAAGAGAGGAGGATTGTGACAGTCGAGATTGAGTATTTCGTAGCTTCTGGGCATGATTTCAGGACTTTTACAGCAACTCTGTGAGGTGGGCATTGTTGGCAGTAGCCTCATTTTATAGGTTAGGAGACTTAAGGATTCCAGTGACAAGTGACTTGTCCAAGTCCATCCCGTTACTACATGGCAGAGCAAGTCAGCCCGGACCTGAAGCCCAAACTCCCAGCTACGAAACCTGGGGCAGCCTGAACTAGGGAAGTGGCAGTAGAAATGGAAAGAAGTGGATGAAATTCAGAGGTGTTCAAGAGACAGAATGGTGACTCACTGGATGTGAAGGGGTCAGATGTGTGAAGGATGAGTGCAGAATGATGTCCAGGTCTTTGACTTGAACAACAGGGTGGATAGCTGGGAGCACATAGAAGAGATGGAGGGTGTGTGTGTGTGTGTGTGTGTGTGTGTGTGTGTGTGGAATGGCAGGGATACCAATCATAATTCTTTCTTGAAAGGCTGATTTTGAGGTGTCCATGGGACATCAAAGTGGAGAAAGAGCTTGTTGAAAGTTCCCGATCTAGAGTTCAGGCTGGAGATACAGATTTGCAAACTCTACTGTATTATACAAGTGTAACTTAATTGGGACTGATTTTAAAACCCAAACAAATCATGTGCTCATTGTGAATCTACTTGTTGTTTTGGTAAGACATTCAGAAACTGGAGACATATTATGTTGATTTTTTAAAACCCTATTTATATTGTATGTTTTTATATCCCCTACATGTTCAAAATTTAAGAAAATAGAAATTTTTTTCCCTGGACTTGGACCTGAACTTACTTGCTGTTCAGTAATTTGAATATTGTCGTTAAATGACTTGTCTCCCATTTAAGGTTTAGGAGCCCACGACTTAAGGGACGATGTCTCTGTCACTCCCAAGAGTCTCTGTTCTGCCTCTCCATGTCTGTCAGAATCATTTACTTGGAGATGTCCAGAGGCTTTCTTACGCGTTTTTTCTTTTGAGCCAGAAAACTACATTTTGCCAAAATTAAGTGGGTCGTGCATTCCAAGAGTCTGTAAACCGGCTTTTAATTCACACCACATGATTATCACATGGGTTCTCTACTGGCCAGAAACCCTTCCTCCTTCCTCGGCATTTCCTGCAGCAGAGGCTCATGGGAAGGGCTGGTTAGTGCTGCCAGACTCAGCGACAGATCCAAGCAGTGGCCAGTGGCATCCAGATCGGCTGGGTCAGGGTCAGCTGGTTTTCAGGTTTATGTGAAGGCTTAAGTGTCTTCTTTTGTTTCTTTGTAATTAAAAAAAACCGAAACTTCGGGGCGCCTGGGTGGCTCAGTTGGTTAAGCGACTGCCTTCGGCTCAGGTCATGATCCCGGAGTCCCGGGATCGAGTCCCGCATCGGGCTCCCTGCTCGGCAGGGAGTCTGCTTCTCCCTCTGACCCTCCTTCCTCTCATGCTCTCTGTCTCTCATTCTCTCTCTCTCAAATAAATAAAATCTTTAAAAAAAAACAAAAAAAACAAAAAACGAAACTTCTTTGTCTTTGATGAATTTGTTTATATACATGTATGTATCGGTGTGTGTATATGTGTGTGTAGTAATACTTATCAGTGTTTTCACTCAACTTTCTCCCCCTAAGTTATGTTTTCTTGGTTTATTTAGCATCATTACTTAAATATTTTATACCTAGACCTGTTGAATTAAATTAATAGGGTTTTATAATCTCATTTTTTAAAACACAGGCACTTAGCAAGATGTTTTTGCATTATTGTATTTTAAAAACCAGGTTTATGCTGCTGATAAATGATAAATGATTCACTTTGAATCAGACCACATGGTAAATTTCTGTATTCTGATAGGGCGACAGCCACTGGACCTCAGTTTTAGAAAGAGGAAGAGTGAGGAAAACTAGAGGAAAGTTCTGTGAGCAGTTTTGCTGATTGTAGCTGATTTGGGGGAAATTTTAAATTTTATTTGACTTACATGCTAGAATGAAGCTATAGTTCATGAGCTGTTTTCAGTATTTTACAGCAGTCCCTGAAGTCACGTCTGGTCTTTTGACTGTCAGATGTGCCTTTGCAGGCCGTGGGAACTGAGTACCTTGTTAAAGGTCATTTGAACGAAGGAAGTAGTACACGTTTCTCATGCACTAAGAGCAGAGATGGGTTACATAAAAAGATCTGCTGTCTTGAAGATGATTGGCTAGATAAGTTTAAAATCTCCTTAGTGTCTGAACGCATCTGTGTCCATATTCAGTTAAATCTCAGATTTTGCGTTTCATACATTTGATACACAGAATTACATAAATAATCAAAATATCTGCCATAATTTTCTTTCTTGGAGAGGTTAAAAATTTTTAAATCTCGGGGCGCCTGGGTGGCTCAGTCGTTAAGCGTCTGCCTTTGGCTCAGGTCAGGATTCCAGGGTCCTGGGATTGAGCCCCTCATTGAGCGCCCTGCTCAGCAGGAAGCCTGCTTCTCCCTCTGCCCCTCCCCCTGCTTGTGTTCTTTCACTCGCTGTGTCTCTCTGTCAAATAAATAAAATCTTTAAAAAAATTTTTTTTAAATCTTTTAAGAATAGATTTATTAGGGTCTTACAATGAAGTTTACTTAGGTAATCTCCTTGTGAATATTGTTTTGAGAAAACAGGGACCCATGAAATGTCCCCAGCAGTATTACAAAACCCGGCAATTCTTGGAATCTGTCTCCAACAGACAATGGACCTCTGTAGTTAGTGCCTTCAGTCTGGATAGAATTTTTTTTTCTTTAAGTAAATTTCGGATGGATGTTTTTTGAAGTGAGAGCCATGGTTAAGGCTCTTTCATTTCCTTCAGCGAAGCAGACTTACATTGTTCAATGTAAGCAGGAAACATTGTTCAATCTCTACAACCGTTCTTCAGCCTTCTTGAATACAGAACGACAGATCCTAAAAACTAAAAGCCCAAATTGGAGGTGGGAATAGTATCTTTTCAAATTGGGGTAATAGGTAGCAGTAGGAGGTGATAGGAGTAAAATATTTTGAAGAGAAGATACACAGAAATTTGGTATTATAAAGAAAAAAATTCTTCTTTAGAAATGATGATATACAGTTGACACTTGAACAACATGAATTTGAACGGCACAGGTCCATTTATACGTGGATTTTTTTGATAAATACAGTACTGTAAATGTATTTTCTCTTAAGATTTTCTCTTTTTTTGGTAAAGATTTAGAGCGTGAGTGCACGCATGCGCACAAGTTGGGGGCGGGGCAGAGGGAGGATGCCAAGCAGACTCCCCGCTGAGCACGGAGCCCAAAGGGGCTTGATCTCACGGCCCGGAGATCATGACCTGAACCAAAACCAAGAGTTGGATGCTTAGCCAACTGAGCCACCCAGGGGCCCCTCTCTTAAGATTTTCTTCATAACATTTTATGTTCTCTGGCTTACTTTATTGTAAGAATATAGTATATAATACATATAACATATAAAACTTGTGTTGACTGTTGATGTTATCAGTAAGGCTTCTGGTCACTAGTAGGCTATTAAGTTTTGGGGCAGCTAGAAGTTATATGCAGATTTTTGGTTGCGCAAGGCGGGGCCGGCCCCTCTAACCCCTGCATTGTTCAAGGGGCCCCTGTATAGAGATCTCAAGCTCAGCAAGCTAATGCACCTGTTGGGAAACAAAATGAGAGGAGTGGGCTTCCAGGAGTATGAGCTTATAATAGGGCCGGGGAAGGATTTGGCAGGCAGATAGGGTCAGAACTGCGTATTTTAATAATAGAAATAATGGTTTCCATTTATTGGGTGCAGAAACATACCACAAGCTAGGCTCGGCATCTCCTTTGTAGAATCTCATAAGAAAGGAGAGGTATTACTATAGCATGTGTTCGCAGATCAGTAAACTAAGACTCAGGTTATGTATTTTGCCTAATATCACAGTGACAGAACTAGAATTTGCAGTCAGGTCTTTGACTCCAAGACCTGCACTCTCACCCTGAACCACTACGCTCTACTCTTTTGACATACTGGCCTCCAGAAGTGGCAGCAGAGG